GTTTTTAACATAGCCACGCACTGGGTTCGGTAGAGCAAGGGTGTAGGTTGAGTCACACGCATTGTTCAGGTTCGGTTTTTCCTGTCATCCCAGCGACTGGGTCCGAGCCACTACCCGAATGCATGTCGAAGCATTAATTGGGACGAACTAAAATCGAACAGCCACACAGAGCTCGTGTGAGCTGTCTGAGCCGCATTTGAATATCCTCACAGCGGTGATCGCAACGTTGGTGTGGCCCCCGCAGCTTCATCATCACGTTTTGCGAAGGAGAGACTCAAAGAAAGGGTCCAATTTTATTCTTGGAATTCCACCACGACGAAGACGCTTCTTGGTCAGTGGCATTGCGCGTTCGAGTCCTCTTGAGTCCCACTAGTGCCAGTGTAAGCTGGTGTAAAGTGACGGACATCCTACCCAATATCGTTGCACGGCCACTTTAAGACTGGAAGCTTGGCGCCATTTTCCCAGTATACAGCTACTTTAGTGTGAAGCAGCCTCAAAACTCTACTATGAATACACTCAGTATACACTGAAATGCGTAAACACTTTTTGCGTATAAAACCGTCGAATACTTCATTTGTTTTTGAGGCGATATATTGCTGCTCATTCTTGCGAAAATGGTCACTGTAAAAGAAGCGCCGAAGCACAAACAAGCAAACTGGCCCTTTCAGTTTCATTTAATGTTTGAATAAGAAAGTATTGCGATGAATGATTGGATAAGAAAATTTGCGCATACGTTGCGTTGTCGTGGGTTAAGGAGAAAAGCGGGCGGAGAGACAGAGAGGCTTGAAAACGAGGAAGGCTTTCGTAAGCTTTTCTCAGCTCAGATTGCAAATGTGGCCAACAATTCACGTGATCACTCTAGAGCAGCTGTAAACACCCTGAAATTTAGGCCCGCTAACGACGGATGTCTTAGTAACCGCGCTCCAAACCCGAAGCCTGGACTCTACCTTCAACTTCAACGAAAATCCAAATCACTTACAAAACAGAACTACATAATATATAGGACTGGGCCGAGAGAAACTGAAAAAAACAAGGAAACCCGAGTGGGTGTTTATTTTAACAACTTATCAAAACGTCTTGAATCCCAAGAAGGTAAACGATTCACGGCATGCAGAAGACACCGACTGATAAGCGAGCATTCACCCATTCGAAGGACTATCCCAAAACACGTTTGGTGGCTCAAGTTTGAAGAATTGCTAATGACGGACTTGGAAAAAACCGGCCCTTTAAAATCCCACTCGGGGACTTTTTTTGTTTTCCTTTCTTTTATTTTCTTTTTAGGCTATGAAAACTATGAAAGTGTATCATCAAAAATCAAAGCTATAGAAGGCGACTTAGCTATTCTCAAAACCCCGAGGGAGGACCTGAGTGCTGTTGATGCCGCCACAAAGAAATTGTTGCGGCAAGTATCGAACCACGCCGCACAACAGGATAGTCTCGAAAACAAGTCTAGGAGGTGAAATCTAATTTTCTATGACATTTCAGACTCTGATAATGAATCATGGTCTGTTTGACTCACTTTGTCGCAACCATTGCTGTGACAACCTCGGCTTCACACTGGAGCCGTGCGCTGTTCAGTGCGCTCACAGACTGGGCGCTTAGAGTCATGAGCGAAACAGACCTGTCATAGCTAAATTAATGTTGATAAAAAAACATTTTGTTTTGGAATTTTAAATTAAAAAATTCGTCGTTTAGTGTCAGCGAGAATTTCTCTCCTAAGGTACGCTTCGAGCGCAAGAAGCTACTAGATTTTGTCAAGGTGAAAAACCTCCCAAACAAACTAAGATTTAATAAACTTTCCATGGGACAACACACGTACATATATAAAGAAACTTCTGCATTCGTTGTGGACTGCTATCGCTAGTAATTTCAAAGCTGTTCTGTCGCACGAGCCGCATCAGTAAAAAACCTTACGTTTCTTATCGTCAACTGTCGAAGTTTAAAAAACAAATCGGACGACCTTTCTGGTCTTATCTCGGTCACCATACCCGATGTCTTTATCGGAACCGAATCATGGCTTGACGCCTCTGTCCTTGACACGGAAGTATTTCCTCCGAACTATTACTGTTCAACTAGCTGATAGAAATAATTGTGGTGGTGGCGTATTCTTTCTTGTTAACCAGAACTTGCATAGCTTTTTTAGTAGACATTAATGCTGTGATGTGTGAAAAAGTGTGGTGCAAGATTTATCTTTCTCAAGGTGAATACTTGACGGTAGGCGCATTCTATAGGCCTCCGTCAAGCACAGTGCAGAGTCTTACGTCGCTGTTCAACGCTATGTCCGTTGTGGCACCGGGGAATGTAGTTTTGGGTGAGGATTCCAACCTCCCAGATGGATCTTGGGTAAATTGTTGTCCCGTGACTACTCATTCATCGTGTGTCTACTCAGCGTTTTTGGGATATTATAAATGACTTTGATTTATATAATTTTATCACCGAACCCATAAGAACCAATGCCAGCCGATCAACTGTCTTGGACTAATTAATCTTGTGTACTAGGCCGTCACCTGTCACCTCTGTTTCTGTAATACCAGGCGTAAGCGACCACGAAGCAGTTGTAGCGACAATAAAATGTTCAAATGTACCGCGATATAAAAGCCAACCCAAAAAGGTTTACATGTTCGGCAGAGCTGACTATGATGGCCCAAGTTTTTATCTTTTGGACTTTTTTGCCTCAGTTTGAAGTACAGAGTATCTACCAATGTAAGAGTTTTCTGAAATTTATTTGAGGATAAGATAAAAGAACTGCTTGACGTTTAAGTACCAGCTAAGATAGTCAGTGCGAAGCGCAAGCAAGATAAGCCTTGGGCGAATCCGGAAATTAGACGTTGAATATAGAGAAATAAGCGTATTTTCTTGCTGTATAAGAAAATGAACGATTCAAGTACACGGGATCATCCTGAAGACCTCCAACGAGAGCTCGAAACTAAATAAAAAGTCAATGAATAAGTATCTCTAAGTAGCGGTTGCGGAACGCGGATGATTAGGTTATCATGGCATTCCGCAACACCTTGTATCTGGTCCACGATTGGGAACTTTAGTGCACTACACTACGCTTCTCACGCGCTTAGTCTTTTTGAAACTTACTGATTTAGGTGTTTTTGATGACGCTGAGCAAGTTTATAATTCGAACCATATGTCTATTTTTACTATTAAAAAGTTATTCAACATATTTTAATTAATCAATGGACTGATTGTTACGATTAGGCCCCTATACCATGTGCAGGGTTCCGTGGTTAGCAAGCACTTAAACGTTTCTATAGAGGTCGGGAAAACATGTTCCATAGGTCCAAGTTTCTCGAACTTTTCTCAAAAGGTAGAAGGTTCTCCAAATCAGTCGAACCTTGAGTTTGACAAAAGTTTGTGACATTTCTAAAAATCACTGTTTCGAGTCCAGTGCTCCAGATCGATCTTCGCAAGTACCACGCCCGACGTTATCTGGAGATTTGAGGACGGCCGAGGCGGACGTGGGCCTGCGTGCGTGTCCGCGCGCAATCTAATATAAAACTAAAACATGGGCGTCTTTGATAGCTGCCTTAGCGCGTTTGTGCTAAAAGATAATGTCACCCAAGCGCAGCAAGAGATAAATTACGAGTGCTGTGTTGCCTTCCGGACGTCGTTCAGCTGTGTTTCGGAGTGCCAATAAGGCCAAGTTGGGAAGATACGTGTCTCTGAAAATCCTGGCCTTAACTTCTGAGCCCCATTACGTAAACAAACTGCCTATATCCTTTCGGTATGTGTCATCGTCGTGTAAATAAAAGGAAGCAGAGAATTCCGCAAAAGGCAAACGCGGCAGTCACACGTGCGGGGGTGAGTAGAGAACAGAAATAATATTAAGAAGTCGCTATTCTTGAAGAGAAGGAAGCGTTGTGATTTTTCTTATTGGTTCACTGTTGATTTATTTGTTAGAAGTAGGTACACCCCCCCCTTCCCCCCCCCCCCCCCCCCCCCCCCCCCCGCTCCCCGTTCTGCTTCACATGGGTGAGCCTGTGACGTCAACACTAGTTCGAGCGCAAGCCGCCGATCAAGCGCTCATCAGAAAAATACGCCTGCTCGCATGGAGTTCTTGCCCAAGTGTACAAAAAAAAAAAAAAAAACTGGAAGCTAAAATTGTTTTTTGGAAGCTCTGAATGACCCGCAAAGCCCGCGCCGATTAAAAATTTTGAACACGGCCCTCTATGGTGCTCTATCATGTGTATTGAAAAACTTTCGTCTAACCAATGGGTGATCATAATAAGCTTACAGCACGCCTTTATTTCACGAAACATTTTCCATAATTATAATCTTGGAGAAGCTTTGAATGGCTTCGCTTTCGAGGCGACTGCCTGTTCCTGGTGTATTTTTTTTTATTTGCTTTTATGAGCGATCGTCTAAGCTTTTCAGACTGTCTTGATTTCCAACTTTCGTGTCTTATCCAGGCTCATAACGTTTTCGTCTTCGTTATGTTAGTGCTAGTGTCGCGTAAAAAGTTGAGAAATTATGTGAGCCAAACAGAATTCTCGGATGTGAGTCTGTGCCAGACAATGACGCTCCAACAAGCGACGAAGATAATCTATCGAACTTTTGTAAGTTTCCATTGCAGAGTTTTGTCTTCTGATCTAAATTTTAATGTAAGAAAGTAGTGTCTAAGCGTTAGCCCAAATCTGCAAATACGAACACTAATCGTATTTCTTAATCGACGTTTGAATTGTGAACTAACAACATTCCTTCTTTATAATCGCCTGGCTTTTTGCAACATCATTCCTCCCTGTGCCACAATTTCTAACTAAACATTCAACAGCCACGTCTGGCCGAATCGTCGTTTGAGCGTTCTACCACGTTTTTGCGCGCGGTTTGAGAAAGCCATCTGCGCAGAGCGAGTTTGACCAGTCTGCACTCAATAAAAGATAGGCTATGAAGACCTGCACTCGAAAGAGTGTACATAAAGATAAGCGACAGGCTCCGGGGCTTCTTTCTATACCCAACAAACAGTAAGCGTCTTGCTTCCCCAGGCCACTCACGTTTTGTGCCTTTCTTCGGTCGCTCCTTCAGTGGGTGGCTAAGGCTCCACAGGGCTCGGCCACCTTTGCAAGAAAACAATCCGATAGGCTCAGCGACGTGTGGGTGGCATCGTCTTGACGTCGACCGGGGACACGAAGGTGATGGAGTGCGCTTGAGGAGGTCGGGGAACGACGCACACGACGTCCGTACGAACCAGCAGGCAGCGCGTCTTGTCCGGGGGTTTAGAAACAGGACTCTTCCTTCTCCTCTTACGCGGCACCCTCACCTCCCGATGTCGCGCCTTGATCTGTCTCGTCCTTATCAGCAGCACTCGGCCGACTCGGCCCGAATGAGCGAGAACGAGACCCACCCAGGCAAACTCAGTGTGTCGCTGCGTATCAGACGCGAACAGTTCAACGCCTCGCGTCGGCTACCACGCATGAATGCGGGCACACAGAGACGAGCGGGTGTTTTCGTATCGGATCGCGTTCGCGGTGACGTAGTCTGCTGTGACGTTATTTTTGGTGTTAGGTGTCCAACCAGCGTCCCTTGTGGGTCATTCACTCTCAAGGGGTTCTATTTGTGGCTTGTGGTACAGGCTTTCTAACACAGAATGTGTTTTGTTGCGAGATGCTACGCGAAAAGCGTAGCGCTCGAGTGTAAGGAAAAGTCGTTACCCGCGGGCTAAGGCTACAAAAAGCGTACATAGCCCATAGCACGCAATGCATAAGCGTACATAACATATAGAGGCATATTTCGTCGTAATTAATACTATACTTAATAGGAATAATTGGCGTGATCTACCAAGTGGAGCAGCGGGAACTAATACCCCGAACCGTGCGATCCGCAACCAGACGCCTTTGTTCAGCATTACTAGAACAGAGTGAGCAAATGATCGCTTATTTGACAAAAAACTGATTTTCCGACGTCTTCCTGCTGCAAGGAGGAGGCGAATAGGAGAGAAATCAGCTTGACTAAGTGTGACTCGAGGAATCCTGTGTTAGTAGGCGACTTTCGACGCTTGCAGCTGGCTTCCGATGGACGCAGTGTATCTCCCTACGTAATATCACAACTTCGCATGTCCGGAATAAATATAAAGAAGTACAAAATCGAAACTTAAAATATTCGTAAGAAATTAAAAAAAAAAAAGTTGAATTTGAGCTATATTACCTGCAAACGATAATGGCACGCTTGTATTTTAAACGGAAGGCTATTTTTTTTTTTTTTTTTTTTACAAATGCCCGATTCAGGACATCGCTTAGAAATTAGACAGCGAGGAGCGCAATTCGTATTGGGTTATCGTCCGCGCTCATGAAAGTTCCGGTCTCTTCGCAGCCAAGGCCACCTTCGAGGTTCTTGGCGCACCAAGAATCTCGGCCACGCCAAGGGTGGTGTGATTATCAGCTTTTCAACTTCGTAGCGTCAACGCGTTGCAACTTCTCCTGTTAAAGTACTCGGGTGCTCTACAGTCAGTCATTTAGGAGGACTCGACGCCTCGACAATCACTCGTGATGGGGTTGGGGTAGTCCGTAGTTGCTTGCTCAATGACTGATCACCACGAGAACGATATAGATTTGGAGTATGCTGTTGACGAGCAAGACGAAGATACCGTCGGACCGCTTGCATCGACGATGACGGCAGTTCGGCCTAAAGTAACTGGTTCCTATAAGTCGCAGCATTCTTTGAAGCCCTGACTGCGTGACGGTGTAGATTTTAGCAAACAAACGGCGGCGCAAAGCAGAAGAGTGATCTGAATGACGTCATTTCGTTTCTGCGGAACATGATTCGTTGTAGTATTAGTTGTCGTTACTTGTAAAAAGAAACGTCAAGGGACTTCAACTAAATGATGGAAAAGTAATGCCATAGCCTTCCCTACCTGCCAGCCGAACACAAACGGATACTAACCTACAGACCTCCAAACCTCGCAAGGTGATTGGCTGATAGATCTTAGTTGCCATGGTAATTGCCATTTTAATTCTTTCGAATCCTCAAAGTTTTGAACGGGTCGTTCTAAACCAGTCGCGCCAAGGTCGCTATGGAACATCATCGTACAGAAAATGTTCTTCTACAATATAAGCGTCTTTGACACTCTGTGTGTAATCAGCATATCAATCATGCTTATCTTCACAGATGTCTTACAGTGGTATCGTAGTTTTTGCGTATTTTAAGAGAGGAAAATTGTTTTTCCACGCCGCCAAGCACCGACTCCGCATGTGTTGGCGGTGCGAAGATGTGCGCCCGCTTTCGCCGATATGCGTACGAAAAAAAAAAAAAATCTCGATATTCAAGAGATGTTTTAATAAATAAACAAACAAAAAAAGAGCCGGGATTTCTGAGCAAATAATTAAACCGAATAGCACTGTGACATTGATGTTTACAGAGAACACTATATTCGACGGCGTATGTCTGTTGAATCAATGGTTAAGCTAGAGATGACACAGTGCCATTCATTTGGAAAAAGTATTCGCGCACCTCTAAAATGAGCGAAAAACTGCTATATCTTGTTCGTGTTAACTAAATGTGTTCCCCTGTTTAAACCCCCGGAAAAGATGAGCTGAGACACTAGATCTAGACTTTTGTCATGCCTACAGTTCCCACAAGCCCCATTATCTCGCGAATTCTCAGAGTTCAAAGATTGAGACACAAGTTTCGCGTTTCATATTACGTTTGAACCAAGGGTACTTGAAAAATTGTGGTGGGCTGTTTAGGCTCATATTGTCAGCGGTAGTAGATACTTGTTATATGAACTTATTTTTATGACACAAACATGTCCTCAATTAGGTCGTAGTGTAACTTGCTGTGCCATCCTCGCTACATTCGGCGCCAAGTGTGTAAAACGAGAGCACAAATTGAAGTCTCATATAGTCCGAGTCTTTTTTTGTGTTTCGTCTTTTTTTTTTTTACATTTGTGTGCAACGTTCCTTTTTTTTTTCTTCTTATTGATCAGGCTACAATTAACTTACGTAATATGCCGGGCGTCCTAGCCTTATCGCGGCTGTTGCGACACTCTGATCCTAAACAGAGTTTTTTTCAAACACATATAGAACCTCGAAAAATTCATTCAACAGGACCGAAGCATCTGGTGTCGGCTTTCACTTTTCAAATTACGCAACGACGACAACTTGAAAAACAAAAACGTTCTTTTTACAAAGCAGGATTCTGGTCTCCATGTCACCACCATTTTATTGCCAGGCCTTGCTATTGCTTTGTTTTTTCCGCCGGCAAATAATAGATCGCCTGATATAAAAAAATACAATCGAACAAATAAACTAGCAAAGATCAGCTTCGCGATAAACAGACGTACGCGCGTCACGCCCGTCGGGGTTCGACGAACAGAAAAGGCCATGCCAGCTGCTCTTATGCGAGCAACCATCAATGGGTGCATCGGATCTTTCCGAAAAGAATGCCAAGGCCTTCTTCCGTCCTTCTGTAATGGACTCCCGCGTCTCTTCTGTTCATTTATATCCGCGCCTGCGTACACGTATCTGTGTGGCGTGGAGTGGAGGGGGGGGGGGGGGGGGGGGAGGGAGCGGGGCATCGTCCCTTCCTGTGCGGTGCGTTGAATTACTTTCACAGCTAAGGGGGACGGCGGGAGAGCGGCCGGGGTCAGGGCTGCGAATGATGCCCGACGTGAGGTTCATTTATCCAGCTTACACGGCTTACTCTATAAGTCTCTACCGGATTTAAATCCTAACAGCGGTCCCGGTGGCAATAGCTAGCCTATCTCTTTTGCTAGCTCGTGCGAGACAGGGCGCATTTCTATCCCGGCGTTCATAATCGTGTCGTGCTCGCAAAATCGTTCGATATGTCACAAGTATTTTCGTTATGTTTGTCAAGGCACATATAGCATACGTTATCTCGTGCGCGAATTCGACCTTCGCACAATTTTCGTTTCTTTGAGGTTTTGTTTAAAGGCTTATCCTATCTCTTTTGCTAGCTCGTGCGAGACAGGGCGCATTTCTATCCCGGCGTTCATAATCGTGTCCTGCTCGCAAAATCGTTCGATATGTCACAAGTATTTTCGTTATGTTTGTCAAGGCGCATGTAGCATACGCTATCTCGTGCGCGAATACGACCTTCGCACAATTTTCGTTTCTTTGAGGTTTTGTTTAAAAGCTTCGTGGAGTGTGTCGTGCAGCATTGAAGAGATCCGCGGCATACATGGAGATGTGAGATAACCTCGGAGCTTTAAATTATACCCGTAGGGAAACAAGTTAATTATCTTCTTTATATACGTTTAAACTTGGAGTAGCATAATATATCACGGAAATTAGGTTCGAGAAATAACCGAATGCTCGCAACATATTTAAGTCTGAGCATTGCCAGTCACGCTTAGACAATTGTGTGTATCAAAAATTAATATTGGCTATACTTGATCCAATAGACCGATCGCTGAAGAAGGGAAACAAGGGGACAAAGGGCAAACACAAATCTCCAAACACAGCTAAAACACAGTGTGTTTGGCCTTGCCAAAAGTGCAGTGGGGGACGCCCCTTCTCGGCATCCCCCGCTGCACTTTTGGAAATGGAGACCAGCACTTGATGTGGGGATGTAAGGTTTGTGTTTCTGGGGGTCTTTCTACGTAGAACTCATATTCATCCGATATACCGCATCCCTGAAATAAAATTAGTAGAGTAAACCAAATTCAATTAAACACGAAAAAAAAACAAAATATATAATATTTCAACCACGAAATAAATGTACTCAGCAGGAAATTCAAATTCAATTTCAAAGCGAAATCATCGAACGTGTTAGATCACATAGGTTCTTATGTGTTCTGTTTCATGAACCTTTAAATTGGTCTTTCCATGTGCAAAGACCAAGAACGGAAATCTCACGATCTATCGGGATTATCTATAGACTTAAAAATGTGCTGCCTCACTGGGTAAAAAAACGACAACTATATCATACCTTAGTTCATTCACGTCTTCACTACTGTCTCCTTGTATGGGGGACCACAATAGAAACAAATATAGAAACCCTGCACATATTACAGGAAAAGGCCCTGCGTTTGGTCGAAAATGTCCCACACCGGAGTCACCCTGCTCCGCTCTTTAGAAAGCACCGAATATTAACTATTCAAAATGTTATAAATAAGAAGTTATCTTTATTATTCTATAATCAAATCAAATTATAACCGACCGTCTTTTTCAGTACGCATGTTTAGAAAGATCATCTATACAATTTTCGGCACACGAGCTACAGAAAGCAAAAAATACGCACAAACTATG